TACATATATTATGTAATATTATGTGTTTGAGCTTTAGAATTAGGATAACTTTCATAGAATTGCCCATTTTTAACATTTCATAAAAGATAGGGACATTATTTGAAGGGATCAGTGACTGTGGAAGAAATAATTGGTCGATTTTCGAGCTATTATATTTAATTGGATGTTTTCACTGTTTTTGACGACTATCCATCCATGGAAAACTAATTTTGTCTCTATATCACATACAGGTTGTTGTACATAATATATACCTGTAGAAATGCACCGATTTTTTTATTTTGAAAAAAAAGGATATAAAACGTATTCCAACCGGTTCATCATTCTTTTGTTACATCAAAAACAATGTATTGCCAATTTATGATCTAGAAATCCACACCAAATGTTAACAAACAGTACAGGGGTCCTGAAATATCGATATTTGTAAATGTATCCGCAACCACCTGTTATTCGTCGTCTAGATATTATAAGTGAGAATCTCTTTAGGAAAATATTTGCAAAACTTGGTATATTTTCTTATTTTTTTATTATAACGCCCCTTGGATATCAATTGCTTTTGAAGTGATCTGCAGTTGCCGAACCGAAAAAAAACAGACTTGATAAATAGTGTCGTTGAATTCAGTACAGGGAAAAATGCCGTCCCAAGGTCAGTGGTGGGTCAAGGACCTTTAAGTCACGCAGTCTATGAAAAACGTTTATTATTGTATTGAGCGCGCCCACAACATTTTTGAGGGCATAGTTCTATATTACAACTTGTACAATGTGCATACTGGTCCCTCTTTCAAAGTACTTTGCAACCATTCTGGAAACTCCTTTTTCGATTCTTGCTTATATGATTGTGAATATTTTTCTGAACTCATGAACTCACTTCACATGTTGATTAAATATTTATTTTGAAAAGACGCACAGAAATCAATTCAGGACAAGCGGAGTAAGGGATGAGGGTGTGTGTTCGTAATCATAGACAACCCAAATCTACGCCTCTCGTGTGCCCGACTGCCTGAGTCTGTATGCATATTATGTATGTTATGATTGATATGGGGCATAAAACTACGAAGACCATATAAAATTAACTTTTAGCTGTATTTTTTGTTCCAGCTCTTTTTACAAGTATGGAAATATTTGAAGAATGTTGAAAAATTGTTGAAAATTACGTTTTCGGTAAATATTCTCATTTCGATAAAAATACCGAACAATCTTGTAATCTGTAACCATGAAACAACACTGTAGACGGTTGGTCCTCTTTTGGTGAGACGGACTGAAGTAGGATTATTAGTCCCACGTTATGTTGAGTCCGAGGGCACCAGCGGATTGCTGTTTAGTGTCATATACTTTTCTCTTCAACTGGAAATCCAACAAAATTTTTTTTGGTGTGAAAACTGAACCAAGACAAAGCTTATAGGTTGAGAATGCGACAAGGGTATTTTTATTCGTTAAGATTGGATAACCTCATGCGTTTAAATCTAGGAAACGGGACCGTCTTGCAATTGCAAGTGCTTGAATGCGATTGACTTGCGTACTGTAAAACTGTTACAATTGGAAATCCCTTTACGCTTTCCTCTTAACTATCTGCATTATAACGAAACTTGCTTTAATCGGCGGGCTATTTTTATTCCTGACAATTAATACAGAGACAGCACTCGATGCTAATAACCCATATGTGATGTTCAATTTTTAATGGCCCCATTAAGTTTATAACTGACAAATAAACAATTTAGTCAGATTAAGTGATCAACATTCAACGTGCGTCAGCTTCGCCAACAGTTTAAACGGATTGATGTCGAATGGCGATATGCTGTGGCTTAAATGCTCGAAAAAGGTATATTACAATAATTTGCTCCTCCCACACCAGCAGGTTTTCAGTCCTAACCAAGGGTCGTTTGCAACATTGACGTCAGTATTTCGAAATGTAATGTGTTGACCTTGCTTTAATCTGTCCCACTTCTTACAGTCCACTTTTTCGGTGTTTGTGACCACTAGAAAGGCATTAGACTGCATTAGATGACATTAGACGTCATACGGCAAACCATTGCTCTATACCGAGTGTTTCAAATTGGACTCTTACCATTGGAATCTCGGAAACGGCGGAATATGCAAAGTCGGTTAAAGGAGGCAATGTTTCCAGTATTTTCCGAAACAGGAGAAAGAATCTGAATTGTACCAAAATCGTTTTTTATTTTTCCTGTCTTTATTTGAAAGGGATTTCAAAATGGAAGGTCATTGTCACTGTTTTCCTCTATAAGGTGACATAATGAAATTTCAATTTGACGTGCCGCCTCTTGCCCGCAATAATCTACTTTATTTTTTATTATGGACGCCGTATTTGATTTTTGCATAAATGACTAGAATTTTCAATTCTGGTTTAAAAAAACGTGTCATATTTTATTAGTGTAATACCATAATTATTTAAACAATAGCGTCAAGTATACTTCCTACGCCTTCGTTGGAGGTTTCAAAGAAATGTGATGAGTCAAATCGTTTCAAAAGGCGAAATCTTTTTGCGATTAAGTAGGTTTCACAAGGGTACGATGAATCTCCGACCTCTGCATATCAAAATATACAGGGTGGCGCATCGAAAACGTAACAGACGCATTTACTGGCAGCTCAGTTTTTTTTTTTTGGAAAAACGCTCAGACACGTCGATTTTGTTTTCGAGGGGGACACAATTTTGGCAAAAAATCACGTTAGCCCCCTAAGCGGGGGTGACACCATCCCCAAAATCTTAAATGGAAAGGGGGTTCGAGTGATACCTTATTCTAAAGGTCTTTCAATTCCCTTTATAATCATATAAAATTAATATACTTCAGTTCAGTTCAGTAGTTTTGAAGATAGATTTATTGATTTAAAGCTTAAATAAAACTACTATGTCATCATTAGTGGATATCAATACATTTGGCAGCAAAGTAATTTAAAAATGAAGAATGAACTGACCCGTTAGGCAAGTAAATGTTGAAAATGGCCACCATGACTCTCCATGCAATAATAAAGATTTTGGTCAAAACGTTGCCGCACATTTTGCAATATTTGAGGAGTAATTTGAAGGCACTCATTCACAATTCTTTGCCGCAGGTCTTCTAATGATGTTGGCTGAGTAGCATAGATTTTACTTTTTAAATGACCCCACATAAAGAAATCCAAAGGTGATAAATCTGGCGATCTTGGGGGCCATTCAATGGCACCTCTTCTACCAATCCATCGATCTGGAAACGTCTGATCTAAATATTGTCGAACAAGTAATGCGTAATGTGGTGGGGCACCATCCTGTTGGAACATCAACCTTTTCGCAATGTACCGCCGATCATTCTAATTTTCAATTATGGCTGTTAATGCAGGATCTATGGCGTCTTCCAGTAATTCCAAATACATTTCGCCGGTCAAATTTCCAGGTAAGAAAAAAGAACCAACTAGATGATCGCCAAAAATACCAGCCCAAATATTTAATTTTTGTGGCTGCTGTGTATGAACCTCACGATAAATTCTGGGATTAGAATCGGACCAATATCGGCAGTTATGACAATTTACTACGCCATTCAAGAAAAAGGAACATTCGTCGGAAAAGTGTTGAATAGAAAATGTTCATCGTTTATAATTCGTTCACTCATATATTCACAAAATTGTAATCGCCGATCAACATCGTCTTCATTAAGTTCTTGTACCAGGTGAATTTTATACGGATGAAAACTGTGGGCCTTTAGAATCCGTTGGACAGTACGTCGACTAACACCACACACAGTCTCCAATTTGCGGGTATTTAACGTAGGATCTACATAAACTTGCCCTAAAACTCCCACTTATATTGCTTCGTTCCTTATGGGATTTTCAATGTTGCCTTTTTTATTGGCGACTGACCCAGTTTCTCGAAATTTAGCTACATGTTCTAGAACATATTTTCGATGCACGTTACTGTTCTCATGTCGCTCATTAAATATTTCTGCTGTTCTGCGTACTGATTATTTCCGAAAATATTTCGATAATTTCAACTCTTTCTCCTGTGGAATATACCATGGTTAGTTTATGTAATAAAGCGTTACAAGTTATTTTAGCAACAAATTTTGGTCAAATCAATCGCAAACTATGTACTAAATTCCTATTTAAAATATGGACGACATATTTCCTTATCCTTCTTGAAGAAATAACTTTTTTGCCACAAAAAACGCTCCAATAGCTGTTTTCAACAACAAAATGATAAACAAACCATGGGCGTAGTGAAGAAAAGCATTCACTTATTAAGTAAATTCTTTTAGTCAGATTTCTTCTGAAAGTAGTACAAACTAATCTGATGTACCTATTAAAGTCTACTTTAAGCTTTAAATCAATAAATTTTCAAAACTACTTAACTGAAGCTCATGTATTTTAGAGCATTATAAAGGGAATTGAAAGACCTTTGAAATAAGGTATCACTCGACCCCCCTTTCCATTTAAGATTTTAGGGTTGGTGTCACCCCCGCCCAGGGGGCTGCATGTGTTAACATGGTTTTTTGCCAAACTTGTATCCCCCTCGAAAACAAAATCGACGAGTCTGAGCGTTTTTCCAAAAAAAAACTGAGCTGCCAGTAAATGCGTCTGTTTCGTTTTCGATGCGCCACCCTGTATAGAGCAAATGTATCATATTTCTGTTTCCATGACAGATGTAGGGAAAATATGTGTAACTTACTTAATATGCGCATAGTGACACTGAAATCAGCAGCTTCTTGATAAAAGACGATATTTTACTGACACCAAATATGCAAAAATTTACAAACATTTACCGCATACAGCTTCCGATCTAGAATTTTCATCCCCTCCAAACAATGTCTGGAAATGAGCAGGAATGTCTGAAATGTTGTAACACTATGCTCCAGCGATTTTATTTCCGTCTCCTCTGATTCAATTTTCAAAATCTACGACTACTAAACGATGAAAGTATTAAAGTCGCGATAATTAGGTACCTTTACATTTACACACTCTTTCCTGCGGGACTGGAACGCCCCGTTCCAATCGTGTGCGAAAGCATGCCAGTGTAAATGAGAAATAATCGCTCGGTTTTTAGACGTGTTCAAACTCGCATTTTCGTCGCTAGTGATTTTCGTGCAGGTAAGACGTTTGATTACATTTTACTTTCGCGCGGGCAATTGTGCGTAAATTGTGTTCTAGCGTGGGTAAGTATTTTATTGTATATACATATACAAAGTTTCAATTATTTTAATTGTTAGGTAGATAATATGGCAGATACACGATATTGGTCGAAAGAAGTTGTTTCAGAGTTTATTGAAATATATAAATCTTATCCATGCTTATGGAAAATCAAATCCCGAGAATATACAAACAGAAATTTGAAAAATGCTGCTTACGACAAATTATTCGAGTTTTGTACAAAATTACATCCAGAAGCAAATCGAGATTATGTTGTGAAGAAAATACAAAGTTTTCGTGGTTCTTTTCGGAAGGAATTAAAAAAGATAGAGGAATCCAAGTGAAGTGGAGCTAGTACAGATGAAATTTATACTCCCACATTATGGTATTTCGACTTACTCCAGTTTACTATTGATCAGGAAATACCCACTCAAAGCATTTGTAACATGGAAGATGAAGGAACAGAAAATTCCAACCACTCTACTGAAGAAGAAGTTGAATTTCAAGAGAAAACAGAAGTAAATAATACACAAGTAAGTTTTTTAGGTACTTATTTATTAAAAACAAAAATATACATTAAGCTTTTCCTTTGGCCAACATTTCATCCTGCCAATCAACTTTTCCATCTGAATTGAAATAACTTGTATAATTATCTCGATTAGTTTTCGCAGCTATGGTAGCTACTTTTTTGTTACGACTTTCTAATTTTGTCATATTAACGGCATTTTTTCCAGAAACACCCACCTGTAACTCTTTAGTTATCAGATTTTCTTGATCAAATGATGTTGATGTTGTATAAGAAGTATCACGCTTCCTAAGAAAATTGTGAAGAGAACAAATAGCAAGTACAACGTAACAGATGTTTTCCGGGTTCTTCATATGTATTGGTGTATGCAGAATTCTAAACCTTGCCGCTATCAGGCCAAATGCATTTTCCGAAACATTTCTCGCTCGTGATAGTCTATAGTTAAAAATTCTTTTACTATAAGAAAGATCTCTTTGAGGATACGGTTTTAAAAAGTTTTCATGTAAAGAAAATGCTTCATCGCCCAAAAATACAAAATTGAAATTATTTTCTGTGTCTGTGTTATTTGGCAGATGTAACTGGCCTAAAACCACAAAATTATATTATTCATAATTACATATATACAAGTATAACAACTTACCATGAATTAACTTATGATAAAATTTGGTGCTTTCAATTACTCCTCCATCAGATAATCTTCCATTTTTGCCTACATCGACAAAAATAAATTCGAAGTCAGCATTGACGAGAGCCATTAAAATGATACTATAAAATTTTTTATAGTTATAGTATTGTGCTTCTGAATGAGGAGGAGGTACAATACGAATATGCTTGCCATCCAGAGCTCCTCCACAGTTTATAAATTGCCATTTTTGTTCAAATCCATTTGCTACTTCCAGCCAATCCTGCTGCGTAGATGGAAACTAAAATAATATTTTTTTTAGAAATCTGCAAGTGTTTCATCACAAGTGCCTTCAACATCTCATGCACGTCCAACAAGTCCAACTGCCTTCAAGCCTGCCTCAAATAAAAGAAGTAAGACTTCTAAACAAAATAAGACCCAAACAGACTTCATGAATTACTGCAAGAATCAGCTTGAAAGCAAAAATGAAATTGATGAATTTGATGCAGCCGCAATTTCGTGGGCGAAAAAAATTAAAAAGATGAATCCAACTCAGGCTATTTATGCAGATATGCTTATCAATCAAGTTGTAAATAAAGGATTATTAAACCAATTAACCGAGACAACGATAATTATGCAACAATCACCAGTTCCACTTCCACTTTTCTCACCGCCTAGCCCATATAGTGTTGCTTCATCAAATTCTTCATTACATCGTCCAGAAAGAACATCTCAATTACATGCTTTAGATTCAGCAAGTATAACAGCTTACTATGAGCAAGCTAGTCAGGATTTTAGTAATTAATTTTTTAGTTTATATTCAAGTTTTGTTATCACAAGAAGTTTATTTCAATAAAACAAGTAATCTTACCTTTAAATATGTTTTCCTTAATACTTCATATATAGCTTTACATGTCTCAGGTATAATTTTACATAAAGATGGTGCAGATATTCCACTTGAAAATTTCAAATCTTCAAGCGAACGACCTGTAGCTAAGTATCTCAAAGTAGTTGTTAGTCTTTCTTCGGCACTTATGCTCTCCCGCAATCTTGTGTCTTGTTTAGAAATCATTGGAGAAACCAAATCCAACAAAATTCTAAATGATTCAGAATCCATTCTCAAATAGTTTCTAAAATCCATGGGATAATTATCACGCAACTCATGAAGCAGAGGCAAATGTCCATATCTGTTGCGATTTTCCAACCATGTTTTCACCCAACACTTTCTTTGTCTCTTATTTGGAATATTTAGATACACAGCCAAGCACAGAGCTGCTCTTATTTTCCGTTTCTTAATTATTTTATCCATTATGAAGATAAAAACCGCCTTGAAAACTGTTGAAAATTTCAAGACTCCACATGCCACGAATATCACTCGCGAAAGATGACAGTTTTTGATTTACATTTGCACTTTTATCCTATACCGTTCCACGACACACACTCAAACCGTGCGATAAGCAGTTGTAATTTTTAAGACAGTTCGTATTAGGACGCGCCACGCTTGGACGCGCGAGAATTCGCGTGATTGGAACGGGGCGTTCCAATCCCGCAGGAAAGAGTGTAAATGTAAAGGTACCTAATATTCGAACTTCGGTTCACAAGTTTTCTGTTGCTTAAAGATATCTGCATCATACAAGTCCGTGTTTCTCATTCGGTCGGATTGTCGTATCTGTTGGAAATCAACGCGTCATAAGTACTGAGTCGATCTACGTGACGTAATATCCAGAGAACCGACGGAGTAACACATATTAAAGGTTAGTCGAAGTGGATCATAAAATTCAGAAAAATATATGTGTAGATATAAAAACACTTATCATTTACGAAAGCATCTCAGAACGCTAAAGTGGTTCCTATTACGATAATATCCGAATATTGCTAAAATATATAAATATTTCTCCTCTAGCGATGTGTCAGGGATGACACAACCGCAGAAGAGTTTGTTATCCAGTGCAAAGTCGGCAGTGGCCTTCACGACTATACAGCACAAACGATTGCCCAGTTATTTCGAATTATGAGCAGATTATACATCGGACTTCTATCATTTAATTTTCCGTTGTTATTAGAATCAGAAGCTTTAAAACTAGAAGAATTTGTCTAATACTAAACACGTTACATATACAACCCCCTATCCGCTACAACCCCAACCCTCAAGTTTCAACCACTACAAAAAAAAATCCGAAAATGATCAGGAGCCTCTGAAACGTCAAAAAAGAAGTTTAAGCGATTTTTATTTTTTTTCTTATTCTTGTCACTAACCGATTTTCAAAAACTACAAAGCTTTTTCGACCCTGACATGTTATAGGCGGTTATAAAATTAGCGGACAGACCAACGGAAATGAGTGACATAGTTTTTCGCTACTCGTCCAGAAAACATATCTCAATTTCGAAATTTTTCGGGATTCCATTTTTCCTCGCCGGTTGTGGCATAGGAAGTAAAAGCATTATTTCCTAAATTATCAGATTGTGAACATGTATAATATGGCATTGAAATAGTCAAACGTAAGTTATTTCAAAAAACTATTTGCATGATTGGCCTTGAAAATGACAGTTTATCACATTTTTCTTCGATTAAATCAGAAATGCTCCAGTGAAAAGTACTGAAAGTCTAGGCTAAATACGAGCATTAATACTTCATCATATCATTATGGTCCTAGGCACCAATGAACTAAATATTTGCCACAATACTTCCAACACCTGATGACTATTTTTGTTAATTTTGTACTGTTGGCAAAAGTGAATCTGTTGACATTCACCATATACATATGTTGATTAGAGATATTTTCTAATTTCTTTATGCAAAACAACTCACAAAAACATCGACGTCGCTATGAAGTATTATTCAATACGAGGTACGACTGCCTCTCGACGTCATGGGGTATTTTGGTTATCACTAAATGGTCAGATATTTTTTGTTGTCACGTTTCGACATGTTGATTTGATCTATTGCGTGAAATGATGTATCATGTGCTACCGGATAGACAAACACGAAATTTAAGTTTTCCAAAACTGTTTGTTATTAAGTTGCCATCCTCCTTATGATCAACTTCGTTAACAAGAACTTTTATGATTTATATTACTAAACCATTTTTAAACCTCATTTAGACTGCATTAAAACAAACATCGAGTTCCCGATTGCCAAACTCCCAAGCTTCTATTCACCTGTCGCTGTGTCTTTAGGTATTTATGACTCCCTGACCAATCTAAATACCAAAATTTGAAGATCGCGCGCTGGTTTAATTTTAACGCAAGTTATTGGCTTTAAGGTCGACTAACTCTAAGCTTGAGCGACCGTTTGCCCATAAATTCGTTTTTCAAGTTCTCGTTAACTATGTTATCTTTGAAGCATCTAACTAGAGAACTAGAGCATAGTGCTTTTTGATATTCGGCGTTTATGTCAAGTATCATCCTTGAAAACTCTTGACACTGTCGAACGAAATAAGTTAGATTTGCGGTTTGACTGCAGCTTTCACCAGAAAGTGTGCCCATATGTGATTCTGTAAACTAAAATTAACCACTGATTTTGCAGAAACCCTGTCATTGAAAAATTGAAAAACAGTTTTTGAGACTTATCTTTCAAACTAGTAATATAGCTTTTCATTTATCCGACCACCAGCCAGTTGTTTCATGCTATTTGGCAACTCATCAGCATGATCTAAACCTGGTCCACGAATGAAAGAGGATCAACTATGGTATATTCAAAGTATAAGGTTTATCGAAATAAGACAGTACAAAGTGCCATCTATTGCCAGAATCGACCACGGCGAGAGTTAAAACTGTAAGCTGTCTGTTGGAACTGTATTCCAGCGTAAATCATTGGAAAACGCTTTTCGAGGGCTAACTTTCATTATTCGACAGTAAGTCTATTGAAAGGCAAGGCTTAATTTAAAGCACGCGTAATTTGTAAAGAAACTATAGGGTCATTCTACTTGAAGCAATCTTTTTCACTGAAGCATTCACTCTATCGTTTAACGAAGCGATATACCAATTCACCTGATGTCTGCACACCGATTAAAGAATCGTTGGAGATAGCATCTGCGCCATACCACTTTTCCCATATGGAGACCGACAAGGTAGACATGAAGTCTGTTGAGGTGTATGTTTGTTGCTCGGTTGTTATTGTGGCTCATAATTTATGAATACACACAAACACACCACGTCCTATCCGTGATTGTAAAAGCAACGCAACGTGCCCAGCGAACTTTTAGTCACTAGAAATGATGTATACTGAATATTCGTTGTTGCCAACAGTACTAATTTCTCTATTGGAAGAATATATGGATTCCACTAGTTTTATTTACAATATACAAACAATATGCCTAAATCAGATATTGATGTTGAAGTTTCAAAAAATATACAGAGTGTTCACAAAACGTGGAGCAAACATTCAATGCGTCATTCTTTGAACTGAGGTACATAAATCGGGAGCTTCTGAAGTACCTCGAATGCCACGGCTTGATTAGCGGCAGGCAGTGTGGTTTCAGATATCAGTGATCCATAGAGGACCTCCTAGCTTACGTCACGCAATTGTGGAGTAAACTCATCCATCCTTATAGTGAGGCTCATGTCGTTGCTCTTGATATCACAAAAGCATACGATCTGCTGTGGCATACTGCCCTCTTATGCAAACTTCCTCCCAGAGAAGCCTTGCGGAAGGTTGGCTGACTTTCTCTCTGGCCGCAAGATAGGAATTCAGCCCACAATGTCAACGCGGGTGTTCCCCAGAGATTGGTCTTGGCTGTTCCTCTTACATATCAACGACCTCATTTCCTATACGGTCGATACAATCCATAGCTTTGCCGATGACAGAACCCTACATGCAGCAATTCAGAGTGATAAGCTAATCTCTGCCGATGTGCTAGAGGAAAGAAGACAAGCAGCACTTCCTCTCTGACGAGAGATCTGGGGGTTATCACTGCTTGGGGACGCAATAATCTTGTACAGTTGACGAACAAAAAGCTTCCTAGCGCTCATCCTGTTTCGATGGATGGCCGAGTTCTATCATCTCGCCAATATGTTTATGTTGAAGCGTCACGAGCAACTACTCGAAATATCCTGGATGTAACACATTATGAAATGAAACTAGTATATTTGAAAGAGTTTGATAGTTTATAACTAGGACATTATAACTTTGCATCCTAGCTGGACCTTCAAATGGCAATGTTTACTTATGAAACATTCATTTATCGAAATATTTTCCCTCGCTGTATATTTTTTCGTTTATAGATTGGTACAGAGATTTTTTGCATTTTCAAAGTTCTCTTATTATTAAAAATTCTCAATTTCCGTTATACAATATTAAGTAAACTTTTTGTTTTGTATTAGTTTCGACGTTTTGGTGGTATGGAAGCATCCTTAAGTCGTATATAGATCAGTTCTCTTTTTATAATCTGCATCATAATGAAGGTTATGGCTGAAATTAGGTACAATTTGGAAGTTTCCGCTTAACGTGTCATTGTACAATTTTTTTCCTAATTTGGTTTGATTCGAAAAAGTTATCCTATTTCTCGAAAAAATATGTATTTCCCTTCTAGCCGCTACATTGTCAGTGGACGTGTCAAATCCTGACTGTCATGTCTACTACACGTCGTCCATTCATACATTATTCAGATTTAAGATCGAACGTAATCGATAAAAGCTGCAGACGAATATGGTGCTCTTCTTACAGCCGAATGGAAGTGTTGTGGGATTGGCTGTTGATAATGTCACCTCACTTTGTCAGAGTAATCGCGATAGCATCTATAG